TTTGATTGATATATTTGGACAATTTTAGCATTTGGGCTCAATATTTTTGTTTCAGATTTTTGGTTTGTTTTGATCCTTGTCTTCTTACTTAACAACCCAAATGTATCTGTTGATTTTCCATTTAAGAGTTTTAATACTTATCCTGAGTTTGATTGGAGAAATTTCAGAATCTGGTTTGAATTTCGGGTTATTTGATTTTGAGTTTTATCTATTCTTTAATTAATTTGTTATTGTATGTATGCAGTGTCACAATTGGAGAAGAAGAAAGGGGGAGATCAGATGAGTGGGAATGGGTGTGATAGATACTATCCATTTTTGTAAATGGGTCGGATAAGGTAAATGGGTTGAAATAATATCCATTTTTTTTTCTAGTCAAAGATTGCCACGTGGCCCAATTAAAAATCCCTATCGTTTGCTAAATGGTTTATAAATACCCTCCGTTCATCTATCCGTTCAAAAAAACACACTCCATCAGTTCTGCCGTTAGTCGCGGGGGTATTTTTGTTAATAGAATTAACTTCGTGTATTTTTTTGAACGGATAGATGGATGGAGGGTATTTATAAACCATTTATCAAACGATAGGGATAGATTGGCCCTTTTCCGTATCTGGAAGCCTTGTTTCTTCCAATATCCTCAAATCCTCTGTCAATACCTGCTTCTCCTAGTGGTATCTCCTCTGTTGCAATTGGTTTTTTCCTCTGCTTACCTTGCCTCTTGCTCCTTCATTCAGCCCTTAAAGATCTCAATTCATCATCAACCTCTGAATCGTCTTCTTCAGGAAGAACATCTGCTTGTGAGTCACTACTGTCAACATCTGATTGCACTCCATTTTCAACGACATTATGATCTAGTTCAGCAGCATTGTGAGTTGGTTTAGCAGCATTCAAAGTTGGTTCAGCAGCATTCAAAGTTGGTTCAGCAGCATTGTGAGTTGGTTCAGCAGCATTCAAACTTGGTTCAGCACCGTTCAAATTTGGTTGAGCATCATTGAGATCTGAGATGTTTTCTAACTCTTCCTTAGGCGGCTCAATAGGTTCTTCAGTATTTATATTACTCTCAGGTATTGCCCTAGCTTTAAATTGGTCATTACCACCCCGACCTACTTCTGTCCCACATAAAAGACCAGCTACGTCTTCGAGTACTCCATGCTGACTCACCCCATGACGCAAATAAACATCCAAAATATCACCATGCTGTAAATCTTTCACAAATTCAAATAATTGAAAATCAGATACGACTTTGATAAATTCACTATTTTTTTCCTTTTGACGAAAAAAACCCTTCGACAGCTACATACCCAAGGTCTTTAGCATAAGCGGACAACTCGACAACACTGAAATGGTCTTTGTCGATAGCAACAGCAAAGGCATCTAATTCCCCTTTGTATATTGGGGCAGATTCTTTGATAAATGTACCCCCGTGGTAAAAACGAGTCAAAATATAGCCATCCATAATATTCCCTTACATAAGACGCCAAGGGACCAGCACAAAGGAAAACCCCAAAAAAAACTAGCTTTATCAATAACTTAAAAAAAGCCCTAATTGTAGAAATAGAAAATAAGGAGAGATCGGACTTTTAAGCGTTGTAAATACCGTAAGAGATCACTATAAATAGTTGATTCCGACACCATTGATGGAAAGAAGAAAAAGTTTAAGTAACAGTGGTTTCTTTCTTTGTTTTCATCGATGGAAAAGGAACATGGTTAATTTGTTTAGATCGGTTGTTTATGGCTGTTTATTTGTGTATTTGATTGGAAGTAAGACTAAATAGGTGAACTGGACAATTAAATGATGTGACGATTTTAATGGTTATTTGTTCCACGTAGACGAAGATTGCAGACACGCGCTTGGTGAATTAATAAGCCTACACAAAACGTGTCTAATTGGTACTTCCTCCGTTTCATATTAAATGAGGTACTTTCCTTTTTAGTCTGTTCCAAAACAAATGACACATTCTAAATTTGGAAATAATTCAACTTTAAACTCTTTCATTTTACCCATTTACCCTTAATGAGAAGCTTTTATAGTCATACAAATGTCATGGCCCACAAACTTTTTACCCCTTAAGCTTTTAAAACCACAAGTTTCAAAAATCTTCTTCTTTTTTCTTAAACTCCGTGCCGAGTCAAACTACCTCATATAATATGAAACGGAGGGAGTATATTATATGCCTAAGAAATGAGTTCTGATGGAAAGAGGCCTAGTTTAAGTGTCTAAGTGAAAAATAGTGCTAAATTTAGGTGTCGCCGTATGTATTCCGCCTTTGAAATTCGAAATTTAATTGAACGTTGCTTCCTCAAATTATTTGGAGAATTTTTTTCAACTTTTCTTGCATTAGAGCATGTTTGGAAAACCACATAGGAATTGGATTTGTGTGTAATTGGGCGTAATTACATAGTTTGGCATGTTTATCTGGCTAAGTAGTTACTTGGTCAGCATATAATAATTGGAGAGGTGTAATTACACTATCCAATTCTCAGGGGGGGGGGGGGGGGG